CGGCTTCAGGAAGTAGGCTCCGCTTGTGCCCTGATCCGGATCCTAGGGCCCGGGGCACCCATTGCACCCCAAAATTCAGCGCCCAGACCTGGCCCGCGCGCTCCGCTCTCCCAGGAGCTCGGGGTTGCTTTGGGGGGCAGGTTCTGGGGAGGAGGGCGGGGCCGTGGGGTGGGCGCGGACACCGGGCTTTGGCCCCGGCTGGGCGCAGTTTTGCTTCGTGACCTTGAGGAAATCGTTTCCCCTCTCTGGCCGCAGGCTTCCAGCCCCGAGGGTGGGACGTAGACCTCAGCTCCCTTCCCAGCCCCGGCCGCCGCTGGGACTCTGGGCGGAGAGACGAGTCTTGGGGATCCAAATGGTCACAAGCTCCAGCAGGGGGTACCTCCCGAGACTGAGAAGGCTCCGTGCGCCCTCCCCTTCCCCTTCCCCCCCTCCAGCTTTGGGTGCTCTCTTTCCACGGCCTCAAGCCCCCCACACGAACACACCTTGCCCCTCCCATTCAGAGCCCGGGGCACAGGGAAGGGAGAGCCGCCTGCGGCCGGGGCGCGGCGGCAGTGACTCCCCTCCTGGGTCTCAAGGGCGCGGCCCTCGGAGGGCTTTTCCTCTGACTTTTGAAAACCCGCTCGGGCTGAGGCTGGCCCCTGCCGCCACCCTGTACAACCCGCCCCCCCACCTCGGTGTGCTCTTCAAGCGCAGCAGCCACGAGGCCGGTGGAGCTGCCCCAGGACTGGCGCCCCTGGCTCTGAACTCGAGCTGCGACCCCGGGAACCCCGGCCAGAGGCTCCGTTGGGACGGAAGAGACCGGCGGGACCTGGCCCGGATCCGGCGTTGCCGCCGTGATTTGCCTCCCTGCTCCTAGTTTCTGCTCACTGTCCCCGGGCCAACCTGGTCGCCGCACCTGCCTTTTAATGTTGGACGCGGCGCGCAGCGTCGCTGGAGTGAGGTTGGGGGGCACTCACAGACCAGTGAGGATCCCCGACCCTAGACCGGTGACTCCCCCCTTCAGAGCCTCAGTATGCCGACCTGCTAGGTAAGGCTCGTGCGGCCACCCCGGAGTATCTAGCCACGCAGCCGTGGGCAAACTACGGCCCGTTTGAAATGAATAAAACTATTGAAAAAAAAGACCGTACCCTTTTATGTAATGATGTTTACTTTGAATTTATATTAGTTCACACAAACACTCCATCCATGCTTTTGTTCCGGCCCTCCGGTCCAGTTTAAGAACCCATTGTGGCCCTCGAGTCAAAAAGTTTGCCCACCCCTAGGTGGGACGGCTACGACAGACTTGCCTGACTTAGTCTCCGCAACAAATCTTAACCTCCTTCCTAGCCTGCCACTTCACAGTTAGGTAAATTGAGGCCTAGAAATAGGCAGTGTCCCAAAGACATATTCTCCCAGTAAATCATGGTTGAGCACCTACTATGTGCTGGCGGATAGGCCAGAAGCACCCTGGTTTCCCACCGCCCCCATTGTGAACATTAGGTTCAGGCTCTAGTTTGAGGGGATCCGCCTCCTATAGGGAGCAGGCACTGCCATTCTATGCGAAGTGTTTCACTTTACCCAAACGGTTTTTTAGGTACTTCCAGCCTCTGGTACCTCCAGATGGAGCCAACCTTGTGAGTCCGGAGACATCCAGACCATCCTTCCTAAACCGCAGTCCACCCAGCATAATCTCCCCCACCCCTGCCCTAGATCTTCCCAGCAGGCGGACCACCAGCTTTGTCCCATCAAGATTATTCCTCCTCTTCCTCCTCCTCCCTTTTTCTTTCCTCTCTGCTTTTCCCGCCTTATCAATCCAAATCCTCACTTCCCTCAAATTCCTGCTTCAGTTCGGCTCCCTTTTCTGCCAGGAGAAGCCTGGCCGGTTTTCTAAACTCCGGTATCTTCAGTTAGTTTGGAATTTTTCAAAGAGGAAGGGCATCTCGTCTTGTCCTTCAGGTTCCCATTTTATAGAGGAGGAAGCTGAGGCCCAAAGAAGTGACAAATGACACAGAGGTCACAATTGACCCCCACTGCTGTATTTTTCCGTGACATGAAGCTGATGACTATTTTTAAATATTTATTACTTTTCTGATGATAAGAGCAATATATGCACATCGTTGAAGGGTTGTGAGCTATAAAATAGTTTAGGAAACAATCTGCCATCTAGAGAGCAATTTATTAATATTTCCTTCTAATCTTTTTGTCCGTGCAAAAATTTGCGATCTATACTTTCAGAACCCCCTTTATCTTAAATTTGTCATGAGCATTTCTTAAAATTATTCAGTCATAATTTTTTATTATTGTTAACCCCCATGAGATGTGCCATAATTTTTTTAATATACTTTTTTTTTTTTATTTCAGAGAGGAAGGGAGAGAGAAACATCAGCGATGAGAGAGAATCATTGATCGGCTGCCTTTGCATGCCCTTTACTGGCGACTGAGGCTGCAACCAGGCATATGTCCTTGACCGGAATCGAAGCCAGAACCCTTTCACTGAGCCAGACTGGCTAGGGCGATGTGCCACAATTTGACATCTTTTGTTATTAGACATTTGCATTATTTCCAGTCTTATTCTCTTTTGCCTTCATGAGAAGCACCTTACACGAGGATTCTTACTGCTTCAGAAAGCTTCCTGGATGTGTGGCCAGCCTTTAAGCATATTGGAGGCAGCACCTGTCAGTCCTCCTCGTATCCCCACAGCCCCTGAAATGGAAGACTCTCTGACTCCAGAGGGATTTGGGGATGATGTCAACGCAAAGGTCCCACCCACCCGGGCGCCAGTATCCAGTTGATGCAAATGGGGCTACAAGAGTTCAGGGTATACAACTCTGGCAACTGCCTGGCGGGTGAGAACTTTTAACTCAGTCTCTTCCAACTCTGACCTGGTAGCCCAGCCTCTAGCAACCTCTTCGGTGCCCCCTCCTCCCGTGGTGCCAGGCTTCCCATTACCTCTGAGCTTCTCACATTTCTGTTCCCCCCTCCCTTCCCCAGCTTCCTGATCTTTCCCCACCCACACCCCTTCCCAAATGCTCTCTTAGGGCCTTCTCTGTGTCCTCTTGAGCCGGGGAATACCTTGTCTTGCAGTCTCACCTACCAGCTGTGAAAATCTCTGACTCCGAAGTATCCACAAACCCTGCTAAGTGAATACAGCCTCACCTTTCAATTTCTGCAGAGAACTTGATGAGTGATGGGCATTTGCTGTGGTAGATGTTCAATAACCCTTCGCGGAAATGATACTGGACCATTCCTGGGGCCTCTGGGTTATCTGGGGTATATGGCCCTTTCTCTTTGCTTTTCTGTACATGCATTATCCTTTGGTGTTTTATTCTTAGGGGATGGAAAGGATTCAGATGGCCTCACTCCTGAGAAATGCTGCCCTGGGACCCACCCAGCATCCTGAGGTAGTATGCCTTGCTACTTTCTAACCTCAGCTTCCCCACCATCAGGAAAACCTGGGCAATGAGAAGGCAGGTAGAGAGGGTGACCTTGAAGCCCAAAGGCTGAGCTGTAGCTAAGGTGTATTTTCTTGGCATTTACAGGTTTAAGCTCCCCTTGGTGTAAGAGGTCTCAGGAAGGGAAGGGGGCTGGATGCTGACATTTATAAAGTACCTACGCCTTCCTGCCCCAGGCAGTTAATGTGCAGTCTGACTTAATCTTCCCATTGTCCCTGCTATTCCTAATTAAAGATTAGAAAACTGAGACCCAGGAATATTCGGGAACTTGCCCAGCTACTAGTGGATGACGTGGATGATGGGGAAAATGTAAAATAGCCCTGCGACAGGATTCTGATTCTGTGACCTTGGGCAGCCTACCAGCTGAGTATCAACGAGTTCATCTGTAAAATGGGAATACAGCGCACAACTTCAAGGACGTGTTATACAAGGTAAGTAAGAGCTCCTGGTAAGCTCTTGTTGATTGTGATTATTACCCTTGGTCCTACTGCTAGTTTAAAGGTGGCGCAGGTCAAGACCGAAAACTGGGTCTTTTCAACCCAAAGTTCCTGAGCTCTCTCCTTCTCCCCTTGCCTCCTTTACTCTGGGCCACACCGTTACCTAGATCCCAAGTTCAAATCCAAAGCAAACAGTATTTCTAAAAAAAAAACAAAACAAAAAAACTGTGTCCGAAGGCCCAGGTTTGAATTTACGTGACCACAGGCAGGTCGTTTAATCTCCCTGTGGCTTTGTTTTCTCATAGTAAAACGGGAGGTGCCTTTCAGGCTCTTCTGAGTGTTATCCAGGCTTTCTTGAGTGTTAAATGAGATCCCAGCTCTGGAAGTTCTATGAGGGCCTCAAAGCTCTAGGGCAGTGGTTGGCAAACTCATTAGTCAACAGAGCCAAATATCAACAGTGCAACGATTGAAATTTCTTTTGAGAGCCAAATTTTTTAAACTTAAACTGTATAGGTAGGTACATTGTTATTAACTTAATTAAGGTACTCCTAAGGCTTAGGAAGAGCCACACTCAAGGGGCCAAAGAGCCGCATGTGGCTCGTGAGCCGCAGTTTGCCGACCACGGCTCTGGCAACAAGAGGAGTGATTATAAAATCAGCGAAGGAATAGAACCAAGAACTTCACTTCGAACCCAGTCTTCCCAAGGGCAGTGTCTCTGCCCTCCCTGCACATAATGTTATTTTTTCTGTTTCCATGTGGCTGAAAATTAGGGGAGGACCCCGAGGACAGGGGTGGTATCTTTTTCTGATCTTTGAATTCTCAGTGCCCAGCTCAGGTCCTGGTGGAGGGGGTTTAGGAATGAATATTGAATGAATGAAAGGCTTGAGTTACCATGGAAAAAATCCCCGAGAGGGGTATTTTTATACTAACATGTCAATAACTGCTTTTTCTTCCTTCTCCCAAAGTGGGAGAGAGAGTAGGATGCCAGGAACCTGAAAAGTAAGCAAAAGATTAAAAAACAACAATCAGAAACCCAAAAGGGGTGTCTGGGCAGGTCAAAGGTTCCTGGCCTAGATTCTGGGTTCCCAACTGACACCTCCCTCTCTGCAGCCAGAGCCCCCCCCCCCCCACTGCCAGTTCCTATCCAGCCACTGGGCCGGTGGTCTTTGCAAATGGGGAAACTGAGTTTCAGCGGCTGAAATCAACATCTAAGGTCACACAGCCAGGCACTGAATTCATCTTATACTTTCTATTTAATTTCAAAGGCAGATAGCTTGGAAGTTTTCTTTCTAAGAAAAAAAAACAAACTAATCACAGATATTTTCATATGGAGCCCTCAAATGATCTTTTATCCTTTAGAAAGTGTGTGTTTAAAAGAAAAAAAAAGGTTCTGGCAACGATTAAATGGCACTTGCTAAACTTTTACTGTTTTCGAGTCCTTCCCAGGGAACCAAAGGTCACTGAGAATGCCACTCTGGCCTGCGTCCCTGCCTGAGTTGCAGGTCTCTCAGAGCCTGAGAGAGGGCCCCCCACGCCAGACAAATTGCAGAATTGCCTGGCATGCCAGGAAGCTGGCCCCACTAGACAGTTTCCGAGAAAGACCTAGGGACTGAAAGTAGGAATAGTTGTACTTGACCCAGGGTCCAGTGGGGCAAATGACACTCTTCTGGGGCCTGGCTCTGCATAGAGTGGGTGAGGAGGGGCCAGGAGGGAGGATGAGCTGGCTCTACCTTCCCCCTGAAGTTGCCAGTGAGGCTCCTTGTACAGTCTTTGCTTTCCAAAAAGCCTCTGATTCATAAGGGAAAGGGAGCAGCTGCACTCATTCTCTCTGAGACGTCAGGGATTTAAGGAGATAGTATGCTTCCCCTGAGGTGGGCATTGCAGATCATAGAATCTGTATTAGAAGGGGCCCTAGTGGTCACACAAGTCAATGGACCTCACACTTGGCTGCAGACCAGAATTGCCTTTTGAAGAAGACAGACTCCTGTGGCCCAGTGAAAACAACTGCATCCAAACTTCTGGGGGCAGACCTTAGGGATCTCCTGGTACCCTAGCAACTAGAACCCCGGGACCTGAATCCAACTGCCTGCAGCAAACACGCGAATCTCCACCAAAGACTAATCCAGCCTTGGCCTGAACTTGGGGAAAAGCAACCTCACCCACCCCAAACGCCTCATCCTCCTACTACACCTCCAGCTCTACTTACAGTAATATTGTTATCAGGTAATGATTAGTGATAATTAACATATGTCAAGTACTTGGCCATTGATCTCTTAGCACAGAAGCTGAGCTTCCAAGTTCTAGACTGAGACAGGCCTGGGTTCAAACCTTGGTGCACTTTATATTTGTTTTTGTGACTTTGTGCAAAGTGACTAAGGACTCCGAGCCTCAATTTCTTCATCTGTGAAATGGGGACAGTTTGTGTAGAATTACACAACAGTGCTTGGCATTATGTCCTGTCAATGAAAAATTTAAGGTGTGCCTCTGGTTAAACCCAAATCTGTCTCCCTGTTCCTTTAGGCAACTCCTCCATATATGTGGCCCTGGGCTCTATAGCTCCATAGAGCAAACTCATGCTCCCTACCATAGGGTAGTCCTTGGCAGACAGCGGGCCCTATTGCCAGCACCTGACTCTGGTTCTTGTCCCCTCACCCTCTGGTTGGCCTCTCTTCTGGACGGGCACTAGGGGTGGTGAGATACTGTGGGAGGGGGACTGCTCAGCAGGGCCAGGCCTGCAGGAATTCTTTCTTCTGTTTGTTTAATATATTTTATTGATTTTTTACAGAGAGGAAGGGAGAGGGATAGAGAGTTAGAAACGTCGATCAGCTGCCTCCTGCACACCTCCTATTGGGGATGTGCCCCCAACCCAGGTACATGCCCTTGACCGGAATTGACCCGGGGACCTTTCAGTCCGCAGGCCGACGCTCTATCCACTGAGCCAAACTGGTTAGGGCTGCAGGAATTCTTTGAGCATGTGGGGAATCAGAGAAGCTGATATGAAAAAGGCTGCAGAGTACAGATCTCAGGATAGAAGAGAGTAGCTTCCAAACCCTGCCTGCATAAGGCTGCTAACCTAGGCTGCCAGCTGTATGGCAGGCTCAGAGCTAGGCATAAGATGTCTCAGAACTCATTCAGCTCTCACAGCTGGCTGAACAGGTAATTTCTCTGTATTTTACATTTGTGGTACAAAGAGGTTAGGTAACCTGTATAGCAGTGATGGCGAACCTATGACACGCGTGTCAGAGGTGACACGCGAACTCATTTTTTTGGTTGCTTTTTCTTTGTTAAGTGGCATTTAAATATATAAAATAAATATCAAAAATATAAGTCTTTGTTTTACTATGGTTGCAAATATCAAGAAAATTCTATATGTGACACGGCACCAGCGATAAGTTAGGGTTTTTAAAAATGCTGACACGCCGAGCTCAAAAGGTTCGCCATCACTGCTATATAGTGATGCACAGCTATAACTGACAGAACTGAGATTTGAACTCAGGTCTCCCTGTATTCCACCACTGGAACTACAATGAAACAAACGAATTGAAGTGTAAGTCCAAAATGCAGTTTTCTTCCAGGAATCCTCTACCTAAGTATTTGCTAATTTTGTATCTAGCAATAATCCCTTGTATTTATACAGTAAGTTTTTTTTAAATAAATGTACACCTTCATTTTATATGTATATTTTTCTTTGTTTCTAGAAAAGCTAATATTTGTCATGGTACTTATAGTATAAGATTCACAAGGCACAAAAGAATATTACAATCAGTTTCAGTTCTTAAGAAAGTTAAACATATAGCCCTGACCGGTTTGGCTCAGTGGATAGAGCGTCGGCCTGCGTACTGAAGGGTCCCAGGTTCGATTCTGGTCAAGGTCATGTACCTTGGTTGCGGGCATGTCCCCAGTGTGTGTGTGTGGGGGGGGTGTAGGAGGCAACTGATTGATGTTTCTAGTTCTCCCTCTCCCTTTCTCTCTGTAAAAATTCAATAAAATATATTTTTTTAAAAGAAAGTTAAACATAGAATTACCAGATGAGCCAACAATTCCACTTCTAGATATGTACCCGAAAGAATTGAATACAGATATTTAAACAAAGACCTGTACATGAGTGTTCAGAGTAGTGCTATTCACAATAGCCAAAAGGTGGAGACTACCCAAATGAATTGTCCATCAATGAATAAACAAAATGTGTTATAGTCATATATACAATCCTATATAATAAAAGGCTAATATGCAAATCGACCGAATGGCAGAACACCCAGTCGCAGTGACATGCACAGACCACCAGGGGGCAGATGCTGAACGCAGGAGCTGCCCCTTGGTAGTCAGTGTGCTCCCACAGGGGGAACGCCACTCATCCAGAAGCCGGGCTTACGGCTGGCAAGCACAGTGGCAGTGGTGGGAGCCTCTCCCGCCTCCGTGGCAGTGCTAAGGACCCCTTGGGGGGTGTCTGCCTGCCAGCTTAGGGGGAGTGGGCCTAAGCTGGCAGTCGGACATTCCCCGAGAGGTCCCGGACTGTGAGAGGGTTCAGGCTGGGCTGAGGGACTCTCTCCCCCACTACACCCCAGTGTACAAATGTTGTATACCAGGCCTCTGGTGGAATATAAAAATCCGTGAAAAGGATCAACGTGGATGAACCTCAAAAACATACTAAGTGAAAAAAGCCAGACACAAAAGGTCACATACAATATGATTCTATTTATATGAAATATGTAGAATCATCAGCAATTCTGTAGAAACAGAAAGTAGATTTGTGGTTTCCAGGGGCTAGGAGATGAGAAATAGAGAGTAACTGCTAATAGAGGCAGTGGTGTTTGGGGTTTTTGTTTGTTTGTTTGTTTGTTTGTGTGTGATGAAAATATTGGAGCTACATTGAGGTGATGGTTAGACAACACTGAATGTACTGAATTGTACATTTTAAAATGGTTAAAATGGCCTGGCTGGTGCGGCTCAGTGGTTGAGCATTGACCTATGAACCAGGAAGTCATGGTTCAATTTCCTGTCAGAGCACATGCCCAGGTTGCAAGCTCAATCCCCAGTGTGGGGCATGCAGGAGGCAGCCGATTAATGATTCTCTCTCATTATTGATGTTTCTATCTCTTCTCCTCCCTTCCTCTCTGAAGTCAATAAAATGTATTTTAAAAAAACAAATAAAATGGTTATAATGATTCATGTTATATGAGTTTTAACTCAGTTTTATAAAAATACTAGGGGCCCGGTGCATGAAATTTGTGCACTGGGTGTGGGGTGGGGGAGTGTCCCTCAGCCCAGCCTGCCCCCTCTCACATACTGGGAGCCCTCAGGTGTTGACCCCCATCCCCCTCCAATCGCAGGATCGGCCCCTTGCCCAGGCCTGACGCCTCCGCCAGAGGTGTCAGGCTTGGACAGGAGACCCCCATCTCCCCCTGATCATTGGCTCTGGCCCTCACCCAGGCCTGAGGCCTCTGGCCCAGGAATCATGCCTGGGCAGGGGACCCCCATCTCCCTCTGATCGCTTGCTCCACCCCCCGCCCAAGCCTGATGCCTCTGACCCAAGCTTCAGGCCTGGGCAAGGGGACCATCATATCCCCCCAATCCCCGGCTCTGCCCCCCACCCAGGCCTGATGCCTCTGGCCCAGGCATCAGGCCTGGGCAGGGGACCCCCAGGCCCCCGCCCAGGCCTGATGCCTCGGCCAGAGGAGTTGACCCTCATCACCCTTCCATCACCAATCACCGGATCGGCCCCTTGACCAGGCCTGAGGCCTCTGGCAGAGGTGTCAGGCCTGGGCAGGGGACCCCCAGCTCCCCACGGTTGCAGGCTCTGCCCCTGCCCAGGCCTAACGCCTCTGACCGAGGCGTCCGGCCTGGGCAGCGGGGACCCGCAGCTGCAGCAGCCCCGTGATCGTGGGCTTCGCTTTAGGCCCAGGCAAGGGACCCGTAGCTCCTGGGACTGCCAGCTTCGACCATGCCCAGCTCCCATCGCTGGCTCCACCCCTACTTCCTGCTATCACTGGCCAGGGCGGCAAAGGCGCCTGATTCTCCGATCATGGCTGGGGGGCAGGGCAAAGGCAGCCCCCAGGGCCACCTTTGCCCTGTCCCCCAGCTCTTAGCTCCCCACTGGGTTTCCGATCACTGTCAGTGGCAGGGGGCTTCTTCCTGCTTTCCCTTTCGCCTCCCTGCATTGTGCCTACATATGCAAATTAACTGCCATCTTGTTGGCAGTTAATTTGCAGATAGCCCTGATTAGCCAATGAAAAGGGTAGCGTCGTACGCCAATTACCATTTTTCTCTTTTATTAGTGTAGACTAGAGGTCCTGCGCACGAAATTTGTGCACGGGTAGGGTCCCAAGGCCTGGCCTGTGATCAGGGCCAATCTTTTTCAGCGGCCGGCAGCCGGCCCCGCCCCCTGCTGCCAACGCTGGTCGCCCTGTGTGTGGGGCGACCAGCGGACCAATCAGGGCCCCGCTCCCTTGCACTCACCTTGGCCTGGCGCCACCCATACCCACTGCCACTCCCTGTTCCCCTTCCCCATTGGGCAATCAGAGCCTGCTGGCCAGGGGGAGAGACCGAGAGGTTGGCCAGCAGGCCCTGATTGGGCAATCGGGGCCTGTGGGCTGGTGGTAGCTCCTGCGTTGAGTGTCTGCCCCCTGGTGGTCAGTGCATGTCATAGTTAGCAGTCATTTCGCCATCTGATTGATTTGCATATTACGCTTTTATATATATAGATTGAACATTAAGGCTCCCCTCAACCCCATCCCCTGGCAGCTAGTACAAGTTCCAGGGGTATACTGAGTATTTATAAACGCGTGTGTATAGCTTTTCATATAAATGGTAGACACCCTGTATACGTTGCTCTGTGCCTTCTTTTACTTAAGAGAGACCTTGGAGATTATTCTACATCAGCACTTAACAGACTGGCTGTTATTTTTAACATCTCTATAATACTCCATTTTGTGGATTTGCCCTGGTTTATCTAGCTTGCCCTCCTCTTTTCTTTTTTTTTAGCGTGTCCCCTTTTGGTGGACATTTAGATTGTTTCCAGTCTTGCTGTTTCAAACAAGCCTGCTGTACATAGCCTTGACATGCATCATTTCATACAAACTTCTCTACCTGTGGGGAGATTCCTAGAAGTGGAATTACTGGGTCAAAGGGCACGTGCATTTTAATTTTTTCAGTTGCAAAACTAATGCATACTGCCCTAGCCAGGCAGCTCGGCTGGAGGGTTGGAGTGTCATTTTTTGTTGTTG